AGTTGTAGATGGTCTTCTAAGAAGCCTAGAGGCGAAAGGTTTCGAAGTTGTGGGCTTTGCGGATGATATAGTCATCGTAGTTAGAGGAAAGTTTGACGCTATCATTTCAGAAAGAATGCAACAGGCTCTAAAGTTTACCCAATCTTGGTGTATTAAGGAGGACCTAAACATTAATCCGTCAAAAGTAGTAATCGTTCCTTTTACTAGAAAGAGGAAGTTCAACCTAAAGGAGTTCAAACTTGGAGGAGAACAGATCCATCTTAGTGAACAGGTCAAATACCTAGGAGTTATATTGGATGCCAAGTTGAATTGGAATGCTCAGATTGATTCTGTGATCAACAAAGCAACCAGTGCCCTGTGGTTATGCTCCAAAACTGTTGGTAGAAAATGGGGTTTGAAACCAACAATGACAATGTGGATCTACACATCAGTAATCCGTCCAAAAGTAACTTATGCTTCGTTAGTGTGGTGGCCAAAAACAAAATAGGCTACCGCACAGAGGAAGGTGGCAAAACTACAACGTCTAGCATGTATTGCTATAACGGGTGCCATGCGCAGCACCCCATCAAAAGCGTTAGATGCAATTCTCAATCTACTGCTCTTGCATGAATACGTGCAACTAAAGGGTGATACGGTCAAAATTTGGTCAATATCAACTTGACGTATTTCTTTCAATTTTGCATTAAAAAAACCTGAACACCCCTCATTTTGAAGATGTGTGTGTGTAGAATGTTTGCTCCTATTTTGATTTTGGAATTCACTCTTCAGTTGTCAAAATGCCGTCCAAGCAAGAAGAGCAGCGTATCAAAATTTTGCTCGCGCATCGCGAAAATCCGAGCTACTCGCACGCAAAGTTGGCAAAATCGCTAAAAGTTGCCAAATCAACCGTTACAAATGTAATTAAAGTGTTTGGGGAACGTTTGTCGACAGCCAGGAAGTCTGGATCGGGGGGAAATCGAAAACCGGAAGCCGCTGAGACGACAAAGAGAGTTCCGGTAGTTTCAAGCGAAACCCTAACCTCTCTCTCCGAGATGCCGCAAATAAGCTGGGTGTATCGTCTACAACCGTGCATCGAACCAAAAACCGAGCCGGACTATCGACTTACAAGAAGGTAGTGACTCCAAATCGCGATGATAAACAAAATACGATGGCCAAAGCGCGATCCCGGAGGCTGTACACGACGATGCTGACGAAGTTTGACTGCGTGGTAATGGACGACGAAACCTACGTCAAAGCCGACTACAAGCAGCTTCCGGGACAGGAGTTTTATACGGCAAAAGGAAGGGGAAAGGTAGCAGATGTTTTCAAGCACATGAAACTGTCAAAGTTCGCAAAGAAATATCTGGTTTGGCAAGCCATCTGTACCTGTGGCTTTAAAAGCAGCATTTTCATAGCTTCCGGGACTGTCAACCAAGAAATTTACGTGAAAGAGTGTTTGAATAAACGTCTGCTGCCTTTCCTGAAGAAACACGGTTGTTCCGTACTGTTTTGGCCATGGAGTGGTACGCCGCCAACAACGTGCAGGTGGTTCCCAAGGACAAGAACCCTCCCAACACGCCAGAGCTCCGCCCAATTGAGAAATACTGGGCTATTGTCAAGCGGAACCTAAAGAAGACCAAAAAAACTGCTAAGGGCGAGCAGCAGTTCAAGGCAAACTGGCTTTCTGCGGCGAAGAAGGTGGACAAGGTGGCTGTACAAAATCTGATGGCAGGGGTCAAGCGTAAGGCCCGGCAATTCGGATTTGGAAAAGCGGAAGCCTAACTGAATATTTTTCCTGAATTTTATACTAATTGAACTTGAAAAAGAAATTTAATTTGATTTTTTAAATAAACGATTTCACCGATTTACACGCGTTTTCCCTTGACCAAATTTTGACCGTATCACCCTTTAGAAGCGGAAATAAGTACTCTAAGGCTCAAAAGATCTAAAAAAGTCATGCCTGGTGACCTGGTTGATCACCTAAGCATTTTACAATACTTCCGAAGAGGACCAGTGATGAGTATGAATGGAGACTGGATGAAACCAGAGGACAATTATGACAACGTATGTGAAATGTTGCGTTCGGATTGGGAAGTCGGTGGTCCTAGCGTTCGTCAAGGCTCAATCATATTTTTCACAGATGGCTCAAAAATTGGAACACAAACAGATGCAGGAATCTTTGGCCCTGGGGACAAATATTTCAGTAGCGATGGGACATTGTCCAAAAATGTTTCAAGCGGAAATCGTGGCCATGCTTGAATGTGTAAGTGTTTGCCTAAGGAGATTTTTTTTAATTCGTTTATTTGTACAGGCTCAGTCGAATAAACTTTACAGAGCCTATATATTCTTTTTCTTCTACAATAAGAATCGTAAAACTAAAGTTAAGGGGGTTTAACCAACAATCAATACGAAACTAACGATTTTAAATTGGCGCACTACTTGACTAGCGTATTGGTCCCAAGCAAATCGATTAACGTTTCCCATTCTAGTCGAAATTCTAGTACTACCCTATGTTTGTTTTGATTCGCTATGAAAGTTTGACAGATAAAATGAGGAGTTCGTGGATTTTCCTATGTTTCGAAGGGTGCATCGATTAGCTTGGGACCGAAGAGAGTACCAGAGCTGAGCCAAAAAGTTGAGCACGTTTCTTCGGGTCCTTCTGGTCTTAGAGTTACCTCTATGGTTTAACCGATTACTCGCGGTCGTCTCGAGGTTAGAGAGTTTTACAATTTAAGGATGGGGAAAGGTTGAGAGGATTACGAATTTCATTTGTTTTAATAAGGAGAAAATATAGATGTGCAAATATCTGTATTTTTCTGACAGTCAAGTAGCACTAAAAGCACAAACGAAGTGACAGACGACTAACTGGCGAAGAAATCCATTAAAATAATGTGGTTCACTGTAATAGAATTTTCTTGGAAGCTTGTGCCATCATCCACCAGATGGGTTAGTTTTTTTGTTTTGATTTGAACAAAGTTGATTTTGTGTACAATGATTCTTTGACAGTGTGCAAAGAGTGCGTATCATTTTTTTCATTTTTTTATGCATTTCAGTTTTGAGTAGAGTGAAAGAGATAGAACCAAAACATTCTAGTACATTTGGTGAAAATGCTAGTTTAATCTAGTAGTAGCATAGAGGTAACTCTAAGACCACTGGGTCCCGAAGAAAATCATTATTATTTTTGGCTCACTCAGTACCAGAACAACGGTCCCAAGCAGTCCCAAGCTATTTCACTCACCCCTGCATGTTCTGCATGAATCCACACACCCCTGATGTTATCTGTCAAACTTTCATAGCGAATCAAAACAAACATAGTGTAGTAATAGAATTTCAACTAGAATAGGGTACGTTAATCGTTTGCTTGGGACCAATAGGCTACTAAAGTGGTGAGCCAATTTAAAATCGTTAGTTTCGTATTGATTGTTGGTAGTAGTGTTGCCATGTGGTACAATCCAGAAGTAATGGTGTTGCCATGTGGTTCACTGAAAAATTGCAATAGCAGGTTAGTCACCAAAGTTTTCGAGCCGCTCCGTCTGTCACTTCGTTTGTGCTAAAAGCGCTTCATGCTTACAAATGTACATCAAAGATTGTCTGGGAATGAATTCTCTTGTTGCGACAGCTGTGCTAACAGAACTCAGTAAACTTATATTGGGTTCCTGGACACTGTGGCATTGAAGGGAATGAAAGGGCAGACGATCTCGCAAAATTAGGTTCCAATTCACCGTTTATTGGTCCAGAACCATACCATAGAGGTAACTCTAAGACTAGAAGTAACAACCAATACGACACTAGCGAATTTAAATTGGCTCACTACTTGACTAGCCTATTGGTCCCAAACAAACGATTAACGTACCCCATTCTAGTCGAAATGCTACTACTACACAATGTTTGTTTTGATTCGCTATGAAAGTTTGACAGATAAAATGAGGGGTTAGTGGATTTTCCTATGTTTCGAGGGGTAAATCGATTAGCTTGGGACTAAGATAGTACCAGAGCTGAGCCAAAAAATTGAGTACGTTATTTCGGGACCTTCTAGTCTTAGAGTTACCTTTATGCTATTTTGTGCCAAAAGATATGAACCTATCAAATTCACCGGAACTTCGCTCAATTGAAACATTCTGGGCAATTAAGAAGGCGAAACACAAATATCCCAAAACTATTAAAACAGAGCTGGAGTTGAAGACAATTTGGGTAAAAACAACAGAAGCCCTAATCACATACAGAATCAAAGGGTGTTGGCTGAAAGATTGCTGAATTATGGCTGTGGGTATATTCGGGATTCCTGTATTATTTTCTTACAGCAACTTACAGCAAAAGCAAAAAAGTAAGTACGGGAACAAACCTATTGTCTACTGGAACCAATTTCCGCCTGAAAGCCAAGAGTACATTTTTTTATAAATTGTTTGAACTCCCAAAGAAAATTTATTACGATACCCTTCTTCTGGTTGCACGACTTTCTGGAAAATATGCATTGTCTGAATGTTGAGATATCTCTTGATCGAATTTAATTTAAAACCCATTTAAACGAATATATTCAATTTGTGACGATTGGTTTTCGGATCAATTTCTCCCGGATATGCTGAATTGTTACAAATCATGTTGACGACGACTGTGAATTACAAACCGGCTGCTACAGTCAATTCGCCGAACGATCCTTGACCTTCAGACGGTGTTGTTTGATTAGGACACTTTAAATATCAAAAATATAAAGCACAGTTTAAGCCAATGCCTTACTCCGAAGCTCTTCAATGGTACCGTTTGTCGCCCGCACGGTTACTTCTTTGGCAGGCAGCCACCCTTCGGTTCACATTACGGCGTGATAATTAATTAAATAAATCTCCCACCCTTTGCTAATTGCACGCGCAGCCGCCTCCTATTTGGTGCCTTAGATTGTTCTGGGACTTGCTGATAATGATGCTGGGATTTTCAACTTTCGTTTTGATTATGATTCACTGGCTATCCAACAAGGAATTTCTTTTTGAGTATATAAACCCTGTGGCAGTGTCAATCCAGTATCAGTTCAGCGATTTCATCCAAAGGACTCAAGCAGCTTTCCCAAGTTTCTCCTTCGTATTCTACAGCAGAATTTCCCAAATCATTCTAATCGACATGGCTTGCATCAAGATGATTGGTTCGTTGGTTCTGGTCGTGCTGATCGTGCTGGCTCTTAGCAGCACCACTGAGGCTGGCTACCGGAAACCACCATTCAATGGAAGCATCTTCGGCAAGCGCAACGGAAACTCCATCGGTAAGTCGCGGCTAGGTGTAACATAATCTATTAAAACTGATGTTCTATTTTCTTCCTTTCCAACAGAATACGAGGGAAACGCAAAGGTTCTGTCGACCATGTGCGAAATAGCGGCGGAAGCATGTCAATCTTGGTTTGCCCAGGAACAGAAGTAGAAACCCCCACCAGCAGTAAAGCATACATAGGTTACCGTTCAATCTCGCATCGTTTCCTGGAAAATCCAAATCCACCATTGAACTGAGGTGACCAATATCCGCCTTTATAAAGCACATTCATAATCCTAATCGAGTCATTAATCATCAGTGTACAGAAGAATTGCAACAGACAGCCGTAAATTGAACCATGAAGGGAAGTGGAAGATATGTTATGTTCTAAAATTCAAGTGTTATAATAAAATGCAAGAGAGTCATCCCCTGCTATAAAAGGGGGAGATGATAGAAAATAGCGTTCATTGATTTATATTCTTTGCCTTTCCCTTTGATTGAGTTCACTTTCGAAGTTTATTGATGTCTCAAGTCGCACTTTCTCCGCTTCACTTGTGTATATAATAAATTTTATTAATATCACAAAGTACAAAATACGACACAAGAAAACCGATTTTGATTGTGAATGTTGTCAGATGAGTTCGGTTCTTCGTGGTTGAAGCTCCTTCAACGAGAAATAAGTTATTGTAAACATTATGATTTAAGTCATACACAATTCCAATCGCAAATAAAAACTTTCAGTTCAGCTATGGGTTGCATGAAGAATTACGCTAAAATAACCGTTCTTTCATGCTCACGAGCATTAATCGGTACGATTGAATTTGAAGGATCATAATAAAATATATCATCTGCGTTTTATTTTCTACTGACCAGGCCTCGCATAATGTATTGGGAAAAAATAAGGAACTAGCACGGTTTTGTATAATTTGTGTGGGAATTGGAAACTTAACCGGGAAATAAATAGGGTAGGTGTACCAGTTATGGCAATACGTTCCTAATATGGTGTGTTCCAACTGGTTCGGCTACCCTATTACTAACTAGTCTAGAATAGAGATAAAAAAAATCTGCGAAGAATTTTCGTTTTGACTAAATGGTTAACTAGGAAGCTTTCGGACCACCGGGGATGGGTGCGGACGTGTCGTCGGCAGCTGCAGGCACTTTTCCTTGTTTCCGGAGCTCCGCCACATAGTTGCGAAGATGTGTCATATAGTCTTGCATTAGAGTTGTGTAGGCCTGTAACCGACAGAAAAGTGGATTAGTTACTATTAGATAGTTGAGTATAGTACTTACAGTATCTAGCACGTAACGTGGAATATATCCCTTCAGATCCAGACAGAGCAGCCACTCGAATATACAGTATTCTTTTTGGTTTTCAATCTCACGCATCGCCCAACAGGAAACTTTGTTCTCGCCTCTGAAAATTAAGTTATTGCATTGAAAACCACCAAACATTGCATGCGTACATTGTAACAGACCTTGTATACTTGTTCGAAACCGGAACACTCGGATACTCGATACTGATTGCCGCACTGACATACACATTTCCACCCTTCTGAACTTCATCGTCCACCCTTGGGCGTCTCCGGCTTATCGCAGCCACCTCCCTAGATTCATTCACTCGATCCAGGTGCTCCGTCAGTGCGTCAGAGAATACATCCTCTGGATCGGAATTCGCACCACCACCATGCTGGAAGTCCTGCGCACCAAGACTCTTGCTAAGCGTAGAAAACGCCGTCTTGGTCTTCTGCTCGTTGTTATCACTTACACTACTGGTTTCTAGCTTAAATTCACTACACGATTTGGTTATTTTCGGTGACGGTTTATTCAGTATACACTCGTCATCGCTGTCAGCGTCATCCTGTCCATCACCTATGACGTCGTCATCGTCATTGACCTCCTCGGTAACGGGAGTCAGAAAGGGGGCTTGGGAATTCGTTGGATGCAAATCCACGCCCTCGATGACCCGTCCGTCACGACACAACTGCCAACATCTAAGATTCACAAAGTCACGACACTTCACCACACCTCCTCCACCACCAACTGTGGCCTGATACGTAATATCCGTATGACTATCAATTTTCTGCAATTCATTTTGGTAAGTTATATGGTAATTTTAAAACAAATGAACGACTTACCCGAATAATCTTCGACTCCAGCAACGTAGGATTCCAGTTGGGAACTTCTTCGATTTTATAGTACAGCTCTTGGAGCAACTTTTTAGCTGGGTAGTGGATTTTGGCCTGCATATGGGATAAATAATGTATGATTCCTCACAACCATTGCAACTTTAAAATGCCATACCGTGAGTTTGTAGATTTTCCCCACACTATCCTGATTGCAACTTTGAATGGTATCTCCTTTGGAAGTAATCTTTTCAACCTTCCAATCCGTAGTCTCGAGCAAACCATACGCCTTGCGAACACATTCGACGCCCATTTTTTTGAACTCCTCATCCTGAAACGAAAAAGAAACAATTTTCCACATTAGTACAACATTGCATCGCATAAAAAAATACTGATCTACCCGGGCAACTTTCATTTCGCAGAGCATCTTCGAACAACTACGTGCTGGTCCCAGTAAATCACAAATAGTTCTAAAGTGAAACCCCCAAAAGCGAGATGCTGGATGGTTCCCGGCAGTGTGATTGTAATTCAAGGAAATTTGAAAATCAAATTGTGGCTCGATTGAAGGTCACAATCAAATCAATAATGCATGGTTAGTTATTTACTTATCCAAACACGGATACAATACACAGTGGTAGAGCGTATGGTATGGTAAGGTAGAGCGCAACGGAAACGGATTAAAATGCAACAATTCAAATAACCAGAAAGATGCTTTGATCTTAACCTTTTTCCAGTGAGAACGGTAGGAAACGGAAAGCTGAGTTCAAAAATGTTACCAACTTTGAGCGTGCAAATTCCAGTTTTAAATGAAATATACAAACACAGGTAATTATCATGGACGGCGCCGCGTGACTGCTTTCTCATCACAGCGTGTCTGGGGTCAATCCCAGCCGAGGTCGTTGGGAATTTTCAGAGGCGAAAAATCTCTGGTCATGTATTAGCTGTTTATAATTAGCTTGTAGAGCAACGGTCGATTCCGGTGAACGGAAACCAATACATACTAGATTAGGTGATAAACGACTCTGCAGACGAAGGTCTGATCGAAGAGTAGAATAAACAAGACAGTTGCTCGTATCTGACACCTCAAAGGATCCAGTTCAACTATTTTTCCTTTGGCTCCAAAATCACAGACTCGGTAGCTTATTCTCTCTTCTTGACTAGTTTTTGCTAAGCGATTGACCTTTAAACTCGGACATTTCAGGTACGATAGATTCCAGATGAGGAAGATGTCTCTCCCTGGCACTCGATTGTCACCAGTGATTAATCGCCAATTGGAAATCGCCGCTCATCGGAGATTGGCAATCGATTACAGAATAGAGAACGGCGTTATATAAAGGAAGAAAAAATCAGCTGATTAATCCACGTACCGGTGACAAGTGCCTTTCTCGAATAATATTAAATAGATTCAAACTATATTCTGGTCATAACCGGAGGGTTTACCGGAACTTACCTGACTGTAAGACACAAGATAGTGTGAAGAGCTTTGAGTGGGTTGGTTTATTTTCTTTAAATTCCGTTATAATTGCTTTCTTTTGACAAATTTAAAGGACAAGATAGTGGTTTCTCAGAGGTAGGGTGAACAGGTATTATAAGCACCCCTTAACCCTCCGTTACTCGCGACAACTTTTGTAACACGAGTACTCGCGCGTAGTACTTTGGACAACAGTGTGAGTTTTCCATTGCCATTTTGCAGCCGAGCTACCAATCGATATGAAACCAACGGGTATTCCTTAAAAAAAAACTTGTTTTTAACTAAACAAGTTAAACTTTTATCACAGTTAACCCCCAAAAAATGCGGATAATAGAGAAAATGTGAATGGAAACCGTGTAAACGGTGTCCGTACTACGTGGAATTTGACTTAATTGGTTACAACATGGAAAATCTCGAGATCCTGACCAGCAAGAATATTGCTGTCTTGGGCAAAGTTGTTCTAGAGATCATAAACTTTTCGCTGATGGAGAGTTGTTCAGAATTTTCTCACTACGTAGCGCTAGAATACATGTGAAATTATCGCATGTGATATATCTCGAGATCATGACCAGATAGAAAGTTACTGTCGTCGACAAAGTTTTTCATGAGATCAAAGCCTATTTCTTGGTGCACAATAGTTCAAAATTTTCTCAATACGTAGCGCTAGTATACACGTGAAATTCTAATATAAAATATCTCGAGATCCTGACCAGACAGAAAGTTACTGTCTTTGGTAATGTTGTTCAGAAGGTCAAGGCCTTTTCGTTTTACGGGACGCTAGTATATACGTGCAATTTTAGCATATACAATAGTTCGCAGGGCTGGTAGCGATCACTGCTGTCAGAAATAGTGATTTTAGTGACCATGTTGAATAAATAAGTGACCAAATAGTGACTTAAATTTGTAAAAATAGTGACTAAAAAGTGACCCAAGGGAAGGCGCATCAAATAAATGTTTGATGTTTTAGACTCATTCAATTATTATCTCATAGCGAAAGATTCAATAGAAAGATTATAACCAAACCCACGGTATTAGGTCACGGTGTCTACTAACTTCAAAAATCTGGAAAGCTGGGAATCCTCAGGATTTTTTTTTTCTTTAAAATACCTGGAAGTCTCAAAGAATTTAGAAAAAATACTAGGGATATTTTAAAGAAAATAATGAATTCTCCTTATTCTCATTCACACTTTGAACTTTAAGGATTCACAGTGGATTAATCTTTAGTAAGAAATAAACTTGAAAAAAAAATTTTTTTTTGGTTTTCGGAAGACCACTGTCCGTCTGTGAAGTTTCCGAAGTTTTTCTAAATTTATGGAACTTTTGTGCTCCCGTAATTTTCATGGAATTAGAACGAACTAATTAATATAGTTTTATGATTTTCACTGAAGCACTCCAGATTTTTTTTTTTGAAGTTCATAAAACTTCCCTTTAATTATCGACACTAATCTAAAACTTCATAAATAGTCTAGACTTTCCTCATGCCTAAACGATTACTGAATTTCATATTCTCTAGACTGCCCTAAATTTTGTTGTAATTCTCGAATCACAACAAGGTTATGGGCCCAGTGGTTAACTGAGTGCGACAACGACAACATCCAGTAGGTAACTGGTAGCGACACGAATCAGTGGTTAACTGATCACCAGAAGATGACCGTTGGACCAGCTGAGCGCAGAGGAGGATCGTTATACCTGCCGAGCCAGAAGACGACCGTTCGACCAGCCGATCCAGCAGACAACCGTGTGATTTGCGGAAGGATGGCCCCCGGCGGACAAGGAAGTGGTGGCAATGGCGGTTACGAGAGGGGAACTCTCGAACGTGCCTTGCCATACACAGCAGTAGTCCGAGGCGCGGATCGTGCCAATATTTTCGACGGCACTGAGTCCTTGTTTCCCGCTTGGAAATGGCGTGTGGAGCATCACCTAGCAAAGTTGAAGTTATCGAATACGCTGGTGAAAACTCCTGACGAGGAAGACTATATCGAGCCGGCTGAAGGGGCTACTGCGGAGGTGGAAGAAGCGCGAAAGGAGAAGCTGAAGAAACGGCTGGATGATGACATCGAGGCACTCGATGAAATAGTCATGCTTGTAAACAATGATGTCCTGAATAAAATCATTGGCGTGGAATATGCGAAACAAGCCATGGATGTATTGGTCAAAACGTACCAGAAGGCGGGTACCGCGGCTATGGTCAGTATGCGGGAAAGATTATTCTCGATGAAGCACCGTGACTTAGACTCACTTCGGAAGATATTTGATGAATACGACGTCATTATCAGAGAGCTGGACAGGATGGGATCGGGAATTTCTCAAGCCGAGAAAATCCATGCTCTCCTGATTGCAATACCGGGCAGGTTCAAACATGTAAAAGGAGCTTTGCTGGTGCTTCCGAATGATGAGCTGTGCAAGAAATCGACAGTAGATATAAAAAGAATGTTCTTGAACGCCGAAGCTGGGGAAGAGAAGAAAGAGGAGAAGAAAAACGTCGCTCTGGCATCGAAGCAGGTTATACGATGTTTCGGATGCAACGAAACTGGGCATTATAAAAACAAATGCCCTTTAATGAAGAAATTCATCGCCAAGGAGAAGGAAAAATGGATGCGTGGTCAACAATCCAATGGGAAAAAGGACAATAAAAAAGGCCATGCCATGATGGTGAAGCCGAATGCCCCGCGTAATCGTGCCAAACGCGTGAAATTCGTTGTTGATTCAGGTGCCAGTGATCACATGATCAACGACGAAGACTTGTTGGACGAAGTAAAGGATTTGGAGGAGCCAGTGATTGTCTCAACCGCCAAGACAGGTGAAAATCTTCGGGCAACGAAGATGGGCAAGTTGAGATTGAAGAGCGTTGTTGGCAAAAATTCAATAAAGAGTCTTGAATTGTACAATGTTTTTTTCATTCCTGGACTTGAAGAAAATCTTCTTTCGGTTAGAAAGGCAAGCCAGCATGGGAAAAGGGTCACTTTTACGAATAAAGAGGTTATCTTTGAGTCTGAAGATGAAGTCATTGCTTCAGGAAGTTTCATTGATGGTTTGTTCTACCTTGATTGTATTTGGGATGGAAAGTCCTCAGAAAATGCAACATGTTCTGCACTGATTGGAAAACAGGTGAGTCTTACTACTTGGCATAAGAGACTGAGACACCTGAGTGCTACAGGTTTGGAGAAACTAATGTCAAAAAGGATGGTTGAGGGTATCAATCTATCATATGGAGAACGGAATCAAACAAGTATTTGTGAGGGCTGTCTGGCAGGAAAGCAATCCGCTTTCAAATTTCAGGATATGAAATTGCCAAGATCAAAACGACCATTGGAGTTAATTCACTCAGATGTTTGTGGAAGTATGGAAGAGGAAACGTATGATGGTTACCGCTACCTCATGAAACACAAATCTGAAGTCTTCGAACGATTCAAGGAGTTTGAAGCTATGGCATCTTCATATTTTCAAGCACGTATTTCTATGCTTAGATGTGATAATGGCGGAGAATACACAAGTACTGAATTCCAAAATCATTGTAAGAGAATCGGAATTCAAATGATGTTCACAGTCCCATACACTCCACAGCAAAATGGAGTAAGTGAACGAATGAATAGATCGTTGATGGAAAAGGTAAGAGCAATGCTTTACGATAGTCAATTGCCTAAAGCAATGTGGGGTGAAGCATTATATACAGCAACATACCTAATCAACAGATCTCCTACGAATGGGATAGAAGAAAACAAAACTCCATATGAAATGTGGTTTAAAAAGAAGCCAAACTTGAAGCATTTGAGAATTTTCGGATGCAGAGCTTTCAAGCAAATCGCCAAGGAAAAACGTCATAAACTAGATCCGAAAACTAAACTATTGATTTTTGTGGG